AGCTGCGTGGGGCCGGGGAGGCTCTGGGAATAATGGGATGCCGTTGTCTTGGCACTGTGTGTTGTGGCCTGTGCTTGTCCTAGTGGGGTGTGGGGAGAGCTGGTCGCCGAGACACGGTGGGTAGTGGGCCGAGGTGGTGAGTGATGGATCGCCACTGCCTGGATTCTGTGGGTAACAGAGGGCGCTTGCCGTGGAGTTGTGGTTAACAGATGCGGTTTCCCACGGTGGACCTGTGGGTAGCAGATGGTGGTTGCTTCACCTAGTGGGTAATGAATTGTGGTTATGGTGTTATGGGTAGCAGAATACAACTGTCATGGCACTTGGGTGGGGCAGAGTGTAGCTATGGCACTGGGGGGGGTGACTGGTGGACTGGCACCGCATGGTACTGCTACGAACAGTTTGGTGGCTGGAGTACCCTGTGTAATGGGCTTGGGTTGCAGGGAACCCCGGGGCGCCCCCGCACTGTGGATGGTGGTTGCCATGGCATCGTGACTGGGAGGATGTGGTTGTCACGTTATGTGGTTAACAGAATGTGGCTGCCCAGTGTTGTGGGTGGTAGGAAGTGGTTGCCACAGCACTGTGGGTAATGGAATGTGGTTGCCATGGTGTGCTGGGGAGCAGAGTGTGGTTGCCATGGTGGCCGAGTAGAAGACTGACGGCCACAGCAGCACTGCCTGCAGGAGGTCGCCGGGCACCCTGGGCAGGGCGGGGTCAGGCCGTGGACCACAGCAGCTCAGCAGCCTTAGGAGCCGGGGGTAAGGGTGGAGTCATTTCTTCCCCTGGGTCAGCAGTTACCAGGGGCATGATGACCCCTAACTGCATCCCTGCCCCTCGGCCCCCAGGACACCCCTCATGTTTACAGTTCACGGTGAACATGACAGCGGCCGTGCGGACCTACCGCTGGCAGTGCATCGAGTGCAAGTCCTGCAGCCTGTGTGGCACCTCGGAGAACGACGTGAGTCCCCCCGCCCGCCGGCCCCCTGCCCCGGGACCCGCCCCAGGCGGCCTCCCCACCTGGCACCTCCGCCTTTGCCAGTTGGGCCTAAAGCCTTTCTCTGGAGCCCCTCCTTGGTGACCACTAGTAACCTGTATTATTATTATTGTTAGTGGCCATTCATTGAGCCCGGCACTTAATACTCTTCATCTCCCTGACTCTTCCCAACCACCCTCTGAGGTAGGTGCCTGTATTCCCACTTCACAGAGAGGGGGAATGACGTGCCCATGGTCAGCCAGCTAGGGAGATGGTACCGCTGGGGCCTCAACCCCTGTCCATTGTTTCCAGAGCTGGTAGCAGGCTGTTTCACATCATTTTAAGTGTTCCACCAAGTCTAACAAAGCCCAGGCCACAGACTGCAAACTGACAGTGCTCAGGGGTGTTGTGCTCGGCCGAGCAAGGTTTTGCGAAGATTCCGTGGTGCAGAGACCTCTGGGAGCCCTTTCTGTGGAAGGACCCACCTCCCCAGCCCCTGTGACCGGCCCCTGCCCCAGCCCCCCACCCCGTCTCTGGTGCCCGTGCCCCCAGGGTGCCAGCTGGGCAGGTCTCACCCCCCAGGACCAGCTGCTGTTTTGTGATGACTGCGACCGCGGCTACCACATGTACTGCCTGAGCCCCCCCATGGCGGAGCCCCCAGAAGGTGAGAGGAGGCCATGCCCCCTGGACAGGAGGGGCTGGACAGCCCTCCCCAGACTGGGGCCCAACTCCCTGTCCTCTGGCCACCCCCACAGGGAGCTGGAGCTGTCATCTCTGTCTTCGGCACCTGAAGGAGAAGGCCTCTGCCTACATCACACTCACCTAGGCCTGTCTCTGGCCCACCTGGACCTCTGAGGTGGTGCTTGCCCACCTGCCTCTCGGAGCTCCTCTACTCTCTCCTCGTCCTTAATGCCCCACAGTGGGAGGGGGAGCGGGGAGCCCGAGAGGGGGCTGGGCCACCCCCTTCCCTCTGTGCCAGTGGAATGTTTGCCCAGTGGGTTGGCGGGCCCAGCAGGGCTCCCCCTCTCCTTCCCCCTCCCTTGGCAAATGGGCACCAGGGGCTTCTGCTCCCCTCAAAGCCATACCCCGCCTCTGGGCGGGCACGAGGGGCGGTGGATGCCGGCCGGCGGTCCGAACCCAGCCTTTTTCTAAAGAAAAAGTCAAAAAGTTTTTAAAAAAAAGAAAAAAGAAATTAATATATACAAAGAGTCCTATAAGGCCTGGCTGGGTCGAGGGGCACTGCTGAGCGAGTCCACAGGGCACCAGTCTACGCCAGCTTCTCGCCTGGCTGCCCCTTCCCCCAGTGCTGAAGCTGCAGCTCCCTGCCTCCCCAGCCCCAGGTGGGCACCACACCCGCTCTTGCCCAGGGCAGGTGGGTGTGGTGTTCACCCCTCCTTCCCTCTTGGTGCCCACCGTGGATACTGCATGATGTGAACCATGGTTTTAAACTCTGTTCCCGTTCCTGCCCCTCCCTGAGAGCCCCACCCACCTGCCACAGCCACAGGTGTTGCTGGTGGGGCAGGTGGGCCCCTGCCCGGCGCCTGCTGGGACGAGAAGCACAGACTCTGCAACTGGACTAGTTTTCCTCCTCCCCGCCGCCCTGATCCCCACCGGCCAGGCCGGGCTACCCCCTGTCCCCCTCGCTGGCCATTTTGGAGGTAGTGAGGGGGAATGGTTGTTTCTTGTGGTTGTGTGTGTTTGTTGTTCGGGTTTAAAAAAAAAAAAGGGAATTGAGACTGCAAGTGGGTGAGGTTGTGGGTTTGGGGGGGGTCTCTCCCAATCCAGGCATGCCCCCCCTTGTAAACGAGTCTCCTTTATTGCCTGCCTCTGCTGTGAATTAACTTGTTCTGTGTATTAAACTGGGCCTGACCCCTCTGCCACGACTACCTCCTTCTCCAGGCTGGTTTGGGGCGTCACCAAGAAGGGGAGCTGGGGCCTCGTTGTGGGGAGAAGCAGCTGAGGTCAACAGCTGGAGCTGGCCCCTACCTCCACCTCCCCCCTGCACCCCGCCTTTCTCTGGCTTTGTCCCACCTCCTCCCTGCCTTGGCTGAAAGGAGAAGGGGGATGGGGTGGAGGGGGCTCCCGCCCAGCCAGCTGTGGTTGCCCTGGCAACAGACTGCTGCAGCTGCAGCAGAAAGCGGAGAGGAGGAAGGCGGGAGCTGGGGGCTGGGGGAAGGGAAAGGATGAGAAGATGAAGACTGGCAGCCCCTCCTGGCTGGGGTCGAGGGCAGGGTGCCCCGAGCCCCTCATCCCACCACCGCACGTCCCCTGGGGCTTCCTGTGTGCGGCCAAGAGTGCAGGGGAACAGGTAGAGAATGACAGGGACAGGACACAGACACTTGGAGAGAGGCCGAGATTTGGGGAGGTGGGGTGAGGAGAAGGAACCGGGACAGGAAGGAGAGACAGGAGAGACGCACATGTGAGAACCACAGACTTACAGAGAATCAGAAGAAAGAGCCACAGGAATTACGGGGGGAGAGAAGAGAGGGAGGTTTAGTGGGGAAGGAAGGAATATTAATAAAAAAAAAGACACATGGGGAGAAACAGGAGGAGGAAGTAGACAGCGATGTGGAGAGAAGCAGAATAGAGATCTGATGAGGGAGGCTGAGAACCAGGGCACAGACATTTGGAGAAAAAGAGTAAGAGGAACGGCACTTCGGAGAGAGACACAAACAGGCAGAGTCTCAGGGCAAGGACACAGGGAGATGGAAGAGGATGCATGGGAGGAAAGTACAAAAAAAATTTAAGGGGATAATAGAAAAAATCCTGAGAAAGCCAAAGGTATGAAGGGATTCAGAAAGATTGGGTGGGGAGAGGGCCAGAGATGGGGTGGGAGGGGGAGGGGGCCTGGGGGAGGAAGGGAGGGATGAGGCGGGAGCTGAAACCAGGAAAACGGGGAAGGGACAAGCAGGGCCCCGTCAGGCGGGAGCGAGGGCTGGCGTGTGCGCATGGGAGTTGTGGGGTGTTGGAAGTCCGTGTGTGTCGCAGGCGCCAGGAGAGGATGTGAGAACAGCTTGTTCCACGGTTTCCTGGTGGGGGAGGGCAGCTCGGTTGAGGACGGGGCCTCCAGAAGGGCGGGGACAGGGAGAGTGTCTGGAACACTAGAATTTTTAGGAGATGTGGAAATAGCTGGTCTACCTCCTCTGGAAAAAGGATATGTACCCGTTTTGGAAAAAGATTTTTCTGTGTGTGGTGAGGGAAGGGTCTGGGTCAGAGAAGCACCAGGTTTGAGCGTAGAGATGGAAAACTTGAAGATAGGTAAATGGGTGCAGGGCCCCCCAAAGACCCGGCCCCCTGGCCACCCCGCTGGAGGCTGGGCTGCCTCTTGGATCCAGGCCAGACACTGGGGTTTTCTCGTGGGATTCTGAGATTTGGAAAATCAGTTTGACTGTGACCCTTGAGTCGCACTGCAGGTGCTCACCAGGGCAGGTCACAGAGGAGGTGTTACAGCTCTCTCCGACACCCCCAACTCCCTGTGCTCCCCAGACCTGGAAGCAGGGACAGCTTTCCACCCCAACCACCAACCAGACGCTTGGCAGAGGGAGGCTACTCCTTCGGCCGGCCGGAAGCAGGGGTGCGGATAAGCCAGCACCGGGCAGGGCGGGCCTGGGGCACCAGCCCAGCTGAAGGAGGCCCTCAGCTCTGAGTCTTGCTGTGGAGGGCAGATTTACCAAGCTGGAAAGTTGGCTTTCTTTATGTTCAACCTCCAGACTTTAGAAAGTTGACCACTGCTCTAAAACTAACATAACTTTGAGGGCTGGGCCTGGCTTTGAGGCCTTCAGAATATGACTTCTGATGTAGAATCTCCCTCTTTCTAACTTAAGAAGGGCTTTACACTCTGAGTGGTGGATTTCTGTCATTTGGGTTTCAAGGAAAACAAATCTTGCAAGGCTGGTGTTCCCTGGTTCCCAGGTAGGAACGTGTGTGTGCTGAGTGTTGGGGCACAGAGGGCAGGAGGAGGGCTGGCGCCCGGCCACAGCGCTCGGCGACTCCAGGCAGCCAGCTGCCCGGCTAGTGAACGCACAAACCATTTCTATGAAACATTTATTTCCTCTGAAACTTCCGGAAACATGCCAGAAAAATCTCAAGACAGGGATAGAAAAAAAAAGACAAAGAATAAAAAATCCAAATGAAACAAATCAACATATGAAAAAACCCCTGTTGCCATCTTTAGCCATCAGAGAGAATGCCAGCTTCATATTAAATAGATTTGTTTTGCAGAGATTCTTAAAAAACAACAGAAAACGAAACCACAAATCATAATTTACATTTTTCAAGGTACACGATCAGGTCCCGGAAACGGTTTGAGTGATCTGAAGACGTGGCGACAACTTCAGGGGGCGGGGCAGGCTCCAGGCTGGGGTCTGGCGGGGGAGGGTGGTCCTGGAGAGCCCGCCCGCGCCCGCGCCCAGAGAGCGGGCGGGGACGAGGGACAGAGACATCACAGTAGTTGGCCAGGGCTGAGGACCCAGCAGGCCCGCCTGCGGCCCCGTGTCCCGCAGCTCAGCAGGCATGGGTGAGGAGGTGGCAGGTGTGCGGGCTTCGTCACAGGGCTGCAGTGCCGCCAGGGGCCAGAGGCTGACTGCAGGGGACACGGTCCGTGTCCTTGTCTCCTGCTCCCTGAACGCCTGTGCCCTGGGCAGTCCCCAGGGCCCCCTTCCCTGAGGTTTCTGGCCCCCAAGAGAAGGCAGTGGGGTCTCTGAACAAGGACTGGGCCCCCTGCGCTGGCTCTTGGCCCGGGATGCTGCTCTGGGCCAGGCCCCGCCATCTCCCTGCTGCGGTGCTTCCCGGAAAGGGGAGTCGCGCCCACCCAGCCTGACTCTGTCCCTCTGAGTCTTCCTGCCGAGCACCGCCCCATGGGGCACGGGCCTCGACCCTCAGCTTGAGGTGGGGGATCCACAAATTGTGGCCATACGACTTGTTCTGGCACAACTCTACATGAAAAAATAAATATATATATATATATTTTTTGTTTGTTTGTAAAGGAAAAAAAGAAACTTTCCTGGGTGAGCAGCGTAGTACCACACCAGCCTGCTGCCTGGCAAGCTGCCCCCTTATTGCCTTTAGAGAAGCAGCGTCTCTCGGGGGTCGTGCAGCAGCGCAGCAGAGGCCCCCGGGAGCACAGTGGTGTCCCAGTCTCCGCTGCCTTGGGGGCTGCCAGGCGGGCAAAGAGAAAACTAAAGCAGAGACGAGATGAAGGCTGTTTCTCCCCAGCTCTATGACCTGGGGGCTCCAAAGAGCCCCTTCTGGTGCCTGGAAGAGGCCGTGGCTCTGCTGCTGGGCCGTGCGGGGCAGGAGCCTGAGGGGGAGGGGCTCGGGTGCCGCGGCCTCTGCTGGTGGGGAGGCGGACAGAAAACTGTAGGGGTGGTGCACACAGTTTCCCCTTACAGCAGTTGACTCTGGGATGCTGGGGTTTCCCCTCTCCATCCTGGGACCCCCAGGAAAATAACTGAAGCTCTAAGAAAGTGCTGCTGGCTCTTTTTGGAAATACAGGGTCGGGAGGAGATGATGTCCGTGCTTCCTGGTGCGAGTGCATGAAGGACCGAGAGCCCTGGCCTGTTTGCACACGGGCCCTGACCTCTCCGGGGCGGGGCGCAGGGGGTGGGTAGGAAGAATGGGCCGTTTTCACACTGATTTCTCATGCAGGTGGCTGGGCCCCACAGGTCCCAGCTCTTGTACGTGGTGAAGAAACTTGGTTTGTGAGCTCCTGCTGCATTGGGGTTTGGAGACTCACTCCTGCCCTCCCTCTCTCCTTTTTACAGCTTCTGATGGCTTGGTCCTAGGAAGAGGCTAAGTAGGGCCCAGCAGGATGGGCCCCTAGGAGCAGGGTGGACAGGGCCCAGGCCCCAGGGACCAGAGATAAGCCGTTCAGAGGAAGGCCTGAGACCCTGTGGCCCATTGGGGCTGGAGGACCAAGAGCAGACCCCAGCTCACAATCCTGGAGAGGCGTCCCTCAGGTGTTCGTGTCCATGGGGAGTGCCGTGGGGCCCTGGCTGGATTACCCTGGTCACGCCTGCCACCCCGGTAGCTGAGCAAAGGGAGACAGGATAGCGGGAGCACCTGCCCCGCCCCCCAGCCCCACTGCTGCCCAGGCAGAGGGGCGGGCGCAGCAGCCTCTCTGCCTCACAGCTCCTTCTTCTCCCGGCAGAAGATCTCCGCGAACTTTCGCAGCTGCTCGCTGGCGGCCTGTGACTCCTCCTGCAGCCGCTGGTTGTTCTGCCGCAGGCTGGCCACCTCCGACTGCAGCACCGCCTTGTCCTGCTTCTCCTGCAGGTCGGGGTCCAGGCATCAGCCAAGTGCGGCCTGGGGCCCATGGGCCCTGGCTCGGCTGCGGTGCAGAGCTGGGCTACCAGAGTGCAAAGCCCAACTCTGCTGCCCGACAGGTTAGCCCAGGCAAGCCACTTCATCCCTGGGACACAGCTGCCTTGACTCTGAAAGGGGTAGCTGAGGGGTTTCCCCGAGGTCACACCTGTCAAGCTTCTACATCATAGCTTGACGTGGGTGATGGTTTGACTAACATCACTGTAATTATCATCACCTCATTCGCCCTCAGCCACCCCAGGTCTTTGGGAAACCCAGCCCAGACAGCAAGCGGAGAGCTGACAGGGGAGTGCAGGGCTGCCTGCGGGGCTCCACCCCCGCTCCTCAGCCACCACCCCCCACCCCCAGGACAGCGTGGCACCTGCAGGTGCTGGCTCGTCCAGGGCCGCCCCAGCCTGTGGCTCTGGGGTGGGATCTGAACCTGGGCCCTGTGATCGCTGTGCCGGAGACTCACATTGTATGCTGCCATTTACCCAGAAGTATGTAATGGGACAGGAAAAAGTCTCCTCTGCTCTTATTTCCCCTCACTTTTCCACCCTGGAGACAAATATAGCCAACAATTCAGACTGTTGCCTTCTAGGCAGCCCTCTGACCCACGGATGTTGAACATTTTTTAAAAGCATGACGAAGTTCTGGAAAACAGCTCTGTAGCTTGCTCAGTTTGTGACTTAAGTTACTGGACTTCTTTTGTACGTTAACAAGCACATAGATTTCCGTGGTTATTTTAACTGGCTGCAGAGTGTCCTGCTGCCCCGTGGCCTGTCATTCCCGTCACCACCGTCCTGTGATGTGGTGATGGGAGCACTCTGATTTTTTGTTTGGCCCACGGTGCAGCATGAACACCTGTGCTCACGGATCCCTCTGTGCCCGTGCGGGAGACTCTGCTGGACAAATTCCCACGGGTGGAATTGCTGGGTCGACGGGGTACGTAATTACATTTTTGATAAATATTGTCCAACTGCCCCCTAAAAGGTTAGGCCAATTTATTCTTCCTCCAAGAATGTGTGAGTCTCTCAGTGAGTTCACCAGCCTTTACTCATGGCTACATTGAAAGCTGGGTGCTTCTCCCAGAACTGAAGGGGTGAGGGACAGGTGCCTCCGCCTTGCTGGCCCCCAGGCGTCTAGGAAGTGGCATAGGAGAACGCTTACCTTTTGGAGGTCTGTGTGCAGCTGTTTCAGCATTGCTTCCAGCTGGTACACCTTGCCTGTCAGATCGAGGGGCGGCTCCTCGCTGGAAAGACAGGGGACAGGGTCAGGCCCCCTCACTCCTGAGGTTCTGGGGAGTTTTTCCCTGCTGGAGACCCGAGAGGGCCTGGAGGAGGAGGTCTGGGGGGAAGCCAGCAGCCAGCCCCCCTCTGGCCCCTCCAAGCATGGGGGCACGAGCGCTTCGGGTGGGGCGGGAGGCTGTGCGTACTGCCTGCCCTGAAGTGAGCCTTCCACAGAGGGCGGACCGTGTGTGTGCCTCGGGGGACAGTCCTCCCGTGTGTGACCCCTTCATGTGGCACAAGGCTAGGAACCCGCCCCGCAGACTCCCGGCAGGCCTAGGCACTGTTCCAGCACGCGAGACACCTGAGTGGATGGCACTAAAACTGGGGTTGGGGACAATGACGGCCCACTGTCACTGGGAGCTCAGCCTACGCTGCACTCGGCCTCGGCCTCACGGAGCTCAGGTCCAGCGCAGCCTGGGAGGTCCCTGGGTCGTTATCCTCCGGAAGAGGGGACACCCAGTCTCAGGCAGGGGCGCTGCACCCAGGACCCCAGCCTGTGGCTCTCTCTTTGTGCAGGTTCCCTTGTCCCGGGCTTGCCTGGCTCCTGTAGGGGAGAGAGGGCAGCCCCTTCCTGCAGGGGGCTCCACTGGGCACACGGGACACTCATATCTAGTGGGTGCCGCAGCAGTGGGGTGGGCTGCAGCAGATGAATGGAGGCCAGTGTCTTAGCTGGTAAAGGGAGAGGACTCGGCCCTCCTGCCCGTCCCACCCCTCTCCCCCTTCCATGGTCCTGGATCCTGGGGACCTGCAGCTGCAGGGGACTTTGGACAAAGGTGGGGGAGGTTACCAGTTCAGGAGCAAAGGGAACACAGGAGAGTGCCCAGAGTCCACATGTTCTACCATTTCTACACCCAGCCTGTGTCCACCCTGTCCACGGTGGCACCACCTGTAACCGCCAGGTTGTGCGGCCATGTGTGGGGGAGGCCAAATCCTGAAGCCAGTGTGTGAGGTCAATAGCAAGAGTCAGAATTACCCTGAAGAATCGCCTGTACTGCCCACAAGGTCCAGTGCGTGGCTGTTGTACACTGAACCCTGCAAGGGGCGAGGGGGGGTTGTGTGTGCACGAGTGTGAAATGCACTGTTTACATCCACAGACTTGCAAACCTACCATTTCCATTTACTCTCCCTCTTTAATTTTTTGCCAAGACACAGAAGTCAGAGATGTTACACTACATGTGAGATGACAATAGTGACAGACCTGTGTCCCTGATCCTCTCCCTCCCCTGGGAAGCCTCCCGAGGGCAGGGGTCCTGTCTCATTACTCCAGCCCCCACCCCAGCAGGGAAGATTTGCATACTTTAGGAATATGCAGAGGGGAGGCCCAGGAGCAGTGGGGGGGCACTGCTTGGCATCTGTCAAAGCTGGAAGTGCACCACTGTGGGAACACAGACTGCAGCACCGTGCCCATGGCACCACGAGGGCAGGGCCGACTCCCACACGCTCGCTGCTGGGCCCAGCACGGATCCCTCCACATCTCTTCACTGCGGGAGGTGCTCCCCAACTACTGCAGACGGGTGGTGCGGTGGCCTGCAGGGTGGTCACTCACCAGGGCGTTCCTCTCTTGCTGCGCAGGCCCGCCACCTGCAGGGAGTTGGGTGGCCAGGCCCCGCGGTGTTCCAAGGGAAACCTCACCTCATGGTTGGGGTGGTCCTGGGGGTCGGGGGTCCTCTCTCCAGGCTCAGGTGGCTGTGGACAGGACTGTGTGCAGGCGGCATGTCTGGGCTCAGAGCCGGGTCGTTGAGCGAGAAGAGCGACACAGCTCTTTGCACTGGCAGAGAGGGGAGCGGGGTCAGCAGGGCCCCCAGCCCCTCCCCACACAAGGCCTCTCCCTGTGCACGCCCGCCCGAACCTCCGCGCATTCCCAGTGCCAGAGGCACTGTGGATGAATTCTTGTCAAAACCCTGGACCAGATAAGGACACAAAACTCACTGTGATTCTGAGCAAGCCCGCAGACCAAATGACCAGTTTAGACAAAATTCAAAGGAGAGAGAGAGACAAGTTACGTTGCAGCGTGAGAAAATAAGGAACCCGACACAGAGCCTGGCACACTCTCTGCTTTCATCAACACATAAAAGGTGGAAGAAACGGCCGACGGCGGAGGCGGTGAAGCCGGGTCACACACGGTGCAGGAGGGCTCGTTATAGCCCACGTGTGAGAGCGTCGGTGAGACCACAACCGCGGGGAGCAATGCGGGACACAGAGCATCACACACGCTGATGAGAGGAAAGAAGTCACAGGGACCGGCAGCGAGAGCAAACACTCATGGGCCCCACGGACACGCGACTCGCTCTGCGGTGGGGCCTGAGTGCCAGCAATTTCAAACAGCCTGTCGGGGGACTTCTCCGTAATGGCGAGAACCGGGGACAGCCCTGGTGCACCACAACAGCCAGGTCACTGTGCCTGGCACTGCTGCTAGACAAGGTGGCGTGCAGCCCAGGAGGGCCTGCCTGTGGGTGACAGGAGGGGACAGCACAGCCGGGAGCAGAGGAGCAAAGGTGCTTCCGGGCAACTTCCTGCAGCTTCCGGGCAACGGGAGGCTTCCTGCTCGGAGAGGAAGTGCACTAAAAACCTGAACACCCTCCCCTCAGATCCACCAACCAGGGAGAGTCGGCCACACCGACCTCTCTCTCCACTTCCCTGCGTGTGCACACACTTTTCCTACTATTGAGAGTAAACTGCCACTATTGGGTACTTCCCCTGTACGTGGGTCATTATGCTTGTCCAGACATAAGGACATTCTCCCGTGTCATCACAACACACTGTCACACCCGAGAATGCTAGCGTTTATACAAGATGACTGTGTAATAGTCAGTCATCTTGAAATTCCCTTGATTCACTAAATAACATCCCTTGGAGCTGTTATTTTCTACCCTGGATTTAATGCCTATTCTCTGAAAATATTTTTCTATGAACATCTGCCCAAAGCAGTGAAAACAGTGCCATGCCTCCTCAGGAACCCACTGCCAGCTTCAACAACTTTCAGCATAACTCTGCTTCCCCCTCCTGCCTGTGCTTTGCTTTTCTTCTCCACCCGACCCCTCATTTCCTGCCAGGGGGTCCAAACTGTGGCCCACAAGCAGCCCAGGATGGCCGTGAATGTGGCCCAACACAAAATTGTAAATTTACTTAAAATAGCCCTGGCTGGTGTGGCTCAGTGGATTGGGTGCCAGCCTGCGAACCAAAGAATCGCTGGTTTGATTCCCAGTCAGGGCACATGCCTGGGTTTCGGGCCAGGTCCCCAGTAGGTAGGGGGCATGTGAGAGGCAACCACACACTGATGTTTCTCTCCCTCTTTTTCCCTCCCTTCCCCTCTCTAAAAAATAAAGTAAAATCTTTATGACATACAGTCACTTGCACAAGCTGAAAAGTGTACCATTTTGCTAGGTGACATTGTGGCAGCTGAGCCTCAGTTTCCTCATCTGTAAATGGGGATCCAATACATTCCTCAGACTAAGTGATGAAGTTCTGGCTCAGAGATGCCTGGTGATGTCGTCATGGCTGCAGAGTCTCCTCCTTCAGGAAGCACCACTAAGCAACCCTTTCCTGCCACTGAGCTTGTCAGGCCTCCAGAGGGTCACATTCATCAGCAGCATAAGAGGAGAGAAACATCAACTGGTTGCTTCTTGCATGCCCCCACTGGTGACCTGGCCTGCAACCCAGGCATGTACCCTGACTGGGAATCGAGCCCGCAGCCCTTTGGTTTGCAGGCTGGCACTCAATCCACTGAGCCACACCAGCCAGGGCAATCCCAGTGGTTCTTGAGTAGAAGGCTAGGACAGACCAGAGGCTGGGCCTCATATGCTATGACCACCCTCCCCCTCAAGGCCTGGCTGCCTTCATCCTGTGGCTGGAGGAGGCTGCAGGATGGCATGAAGCGATGGATAGAAGCAAATGAGGAAGAAAGTTTCCTCTAGGGCCAACTGCCAGGTGTGGACCGGCTCAAACATGGAAAATGAAGGATGTGATGGTACGGATTGGGTTTAACACATCTGTGCTAGGTCCGTGCTGGGCACCTAGTGGTGACGGACGGCCCCAGGCCCGGCCCTCCTGGTCCATGTGGGGAGATACACCCATCATTAGATGGCAACGGCTCAGAGCGGTCAGGGCAAGGATGCGGGGCAAGGCCAAGGGGCCAGGGCTGTGGGGGCCCTGAGGAGGCACCTGATCCATACCAGGGGATGCCAGGGAGGGCTTCTTGGAGGAGGGGGAGCTAAGTTGTGGCTCAGAAGAACACGTTCGTGCCTGTCAGGGATCACCACGAGCACCACTTGAGATGAGGACATGAAGGGTTAGAAAGGTAGAGCGGCCTGTCCAAGGTCACACAGGAAGGAAACGTCACTGACTGCCAGCTGTCCCTTCTGACCAGTTTCCTCTTTCTCCATGACAGCAAATCCCAAATTTTAGCTGGGCACGTGGCCTCGTCTCCCAGCCAGCCAGGTGTGGTCGTGTGGGAGGGGCTGGCCAGCACGAGTCAGCACAGGAGGAGCGTGTGGCTTTGGGAAGTGTCCTTCCCTCTCCTGCTGGTCAGAGCTGGACATCGTGTCCGTGACCCTTGCAGCCCACTGCGGGGGTGAGGGGCTGTGTCCACTGCCCCTGGGGACGTGCCACACCAGTGCCAGGCAGCCCAGCCCAGGGATTTTCACCTGTGCAAAACCTGGCCACGTTTAAGTTGTTATTTTGGATTTTCTGCTATTTGCAAAGCAGATCTAGACACATTTTGGATTGCTCTGGTTTTGCCCTGTGGTGGTAACTGTGGTGGTAATGGAAGGGACTGTCTGGGGAGGGCTCACTCTGGGCCTGACATGTTCACACCCAGCTTCATGCAGCCCTCACTGCGGCCACAGGCCGTGGGCGCCGTCGCGTCCCCGATTCGCAGACGCGGTAACTGAGGATCAAGATGCCCAGGACTGTGCAGCGAGACAGGGAAGGACATGAGCCTCGCGCCCCCGACTCTAGAACCCAAGTGTGTCTCCCTTCCAAGCCCCGAGGGCCCCACTGACTGTGAGGCACAGAAGCTGGCGGGAGCTGGCGTGGCTGGGCGAAGGGCATTCACCTTCGTACGCCTTGGCTGCGTTCACCAGGCTGGACCACTCGAGGCCCGCAGCTGTGTCGGGCAGTGGCATCATCCCGGGGTCGAGGCGTCGCAGCGGCCGGTCCCGCCCGTCAGCCAGTGAGAGCTCGGAGGCTGAGATGGTGGCTGGGTGGGGACAGCACAGGCAGGGAGGTGGGTGAGAATGACAACGTGAAAGAAACACATTAGTACATTTTGTTGTATTTTATATAGAATGATGTAACATCATGTAGTTGTTATAACATTAATATACAACTAAAGAAATGCCATACTTATCAGATGACCAGTGCCAGGGAAACATCTAGCAGGGAGGGAAGGGTGGGAGGGCTGGATAGTTATGTGGGCGTGATTTTAAACGGGGTGCTAGGGAGGCCTCGCCGAGATGGTGTCTGCACACAGCTCTGGGGGCGGAGGACGGAGCCCCGGGATCAGTCGGGGGAAGAGCATCCAGGCAGATGCAACAGCTAGCGCAAGTGCCCCCAGGCAGGAAGAAGCCTGCATGTTTGAGGCACACCGAGGTGGCGCGTGGCCAGGTCAGAGGAAGAGAGTAGTGGGAGGTGAGGCCAGGAGGTGACCGGGTTAGACTGTGTGGGGCCTCGTGGGCCACAACGAGGACTTGTCTCTTCCCAAGCGAGACACAGCCACAGGAGGCCTCCGAGCAGCGAGGGGCGGGACCTGATGCAGTTGTTCACAGGGTCGCTCTGGCTTTGTTTGGGGGACAGACGGTGGAGGGCCCGTGGGGGGCAGGGAAGCAGTGAGGAGGCTGCTGCAATGGTCCAGGAGGTAGGCGAGGTGGACAGGACCAGGTGGGCGGTGGAGGGACAAGCGGGTAGATCCTGGTCCTACTCTGTAGGTGGAGCCAGCTTATTTCCCGAAAGTGGATGTGGGTGTGAGACGGAGAAGCCAGGGTGACATCAGGACCCCGGGGCTGGCGCTGCGGTGGGGAAGGCTGGGGGTGGGATCGGGGGGAGCTGAGTGTGAGCCGCCATTAGACCCCCACGGGAGTGTGGAGTGGGGGCTGGATGCAGATACAACTGGGTTGTCGGTGTCTGGGCAGTGTTCACTGCGACAGGGTCACTGTGGGGAGACCTGGTGGGTTCAGGCAGAGGAGACGGCCCGAGGTCTCAGGGTACTGGACGTGCCAGATAGCACAAGGGTCTCGTCAGCAGCTAAGTCTGCTACAGCCACTGAGTGAGTCCCCTCGTGCCAGGCTAGGCCCTGGGGCCCAACTCACTGATGCCTCACGGGCCATTAAGGGACAGGGCAGGATGGCAGGTACAGGCAGGTCACAAGGTGACTCAGGCAGGAAAGGCCAGGCCTGGCTGAACCAGGGCTGCTGCGTCCCCGAATGCATCCTCTTGCTGAGGTGCTACAGGGTTCATCTCACAGCCTCACCTCCAATCCGCCAGGAGGAAGGTGCCGTGATGACCCCAGTGCTGAACAGGGGACACGCAGGCGGGCAGCAGGAAGCTGCCTTGCCCACAGTTATACTCCCCAGTGGTCTGGTGCGGACCCCGCTCCCAGCCCAGTCCCCCCGGCCTCGTGCTCGGAAGGCCCTGCTGACACCGCTCCAGCCCTGCTCTCCAGCGCACAGGCACCAGCCGGACTTGTGGCCCATCCCAGTACCTGCTCCAGGTGACGGAATACTAACAACAAAGACGATGAACAGCGCTTGGTTTTTCAGTATCTACCATGTGCTAGGCATCGCACCAGTGTTTCCCACGAATTAACCACTTTGATTCTCAGATTAACGCAATGAAGTGGGCGCCACTGTTATCCACATATTACTATCACAGGAACTGAGGCACAGAGAGGTTACTTCTGTGAGTGGGGACTCCAGGGCACCCGGCTCTGGGGAAAGCGGACCTAGTAAGCATTTGCTGAATGAATGCTCAGGGCAACGACAAAGGTCAGGAAGCAAGCTGAGCCCTTGAGCACCACGCTCTGCACTGCCAGCCTGCTGGCACGTCACTGCTGAGCTGGTGGAGGTCCTTCACTGGTGAGGCCTGGGCCAGGCCAACCACATTTCTTCAGCCAGGGTGGATGTGTCTTGGAAAGGGCTCTTGAGCAGGGTTGGGGGAAGTGGCGAGGCCCAGGGACCCCGGCCATGCCAGGGCCAGATGGGACTCTCCCTGGCTCAGGAGGGTGGAGAGCGTCATATGGGCAAACAGAGGTGTATGTGTGTGTTGTGTGAGACAGAGTCCTGGGCTGGGGTCACCACAGTGACCTATGTCTTGCTCTTAGGGAGGCCCCAGTCCAGTGAGGGAGACCCCAGTCCAGTGAGGGAGACCCCAGTCCAGTGAGGGAGACAGACCCATTCCCACATAGTGACAGCCTAGAGTGGGTGGGACTGTGACGGGGAAACAAGGCAGAGGGATCAGGAATGGGATGGGACCAATCCAAGTTGTGGTGGGGGCTGAGAGGAGGTGCCTGACTCATTTTGGTGGGGAGGGAGGATGTCCTAGAGGTGGCAGCGTCTGAGCTGAGATGAAAAGGAAAGGATGAGGCAGGACCGGTCAGAGGCATTTACGTCTGTCTTTCTGTGTTCTCTGCGCATGCTGCCTCTGCCGTGGCCCCCCCTCACCTTCTACCTTTTGTTCAGGCTGTGCTGGATGCCACCCATGTGCTAGCCCTGCCTTAGGCAACGGGGTAGCAAGGATGAGAGACAAAGGAAGGAGACACAGATGGAAGCTTAGGGATGCTTTGGGAGCTCCCACTAAAACTCAGCTCCGCTGGGGTGGGACTGTTCCCTGACGTGCTCATCACGCACGGTGCGCCCAGCACCTAGAGCAGAGCCTGGCCTCAGCACTGTGGAATGACAGTGAGGAGTGAGCTGGTGCTCTGGAGCGTAAGCAGGGAGATGACCCAGCCTGGGGTTGGGGCAGACGTCCAGGAAAGAGCGGTAACTGAGCAAAGCCCTTAAGAGAAGTGGGAGTCATCAAGAACAAGGCTGGGAAAAGAGCATGGCGGGCGCAGGGAACAGACACGTGGAACGCCCCGAGGAGGGAGAGTCTGCTGGATGAAGGGTCTCAAGGAGGGTACCGAGGTTGAGCCCCACAACACCAGCCAGGAGTATGGATCCAGACACTATGGCAATGGGGAGCCAAGAGAAGATTTCAAGTGGAGACAGACCCCCTCAAAAACGTCCCAGAGCCTCCTCCATCCCACCCTCTGTGCGTCCAAGAGACTCCATCTAGACAATACAAGACACAGCCCTTCAGCCAAAGCCCTTGGGCAGACGTATCTCTGGAATCCAAATTTGTTTGGATCGGGGAAAGCTGTGCTGCACACGACTTAGCACACTCAGAAAGATTGGGAAGCACCGCATTCAGAACACTGGTGTGCTGCGATGAACCAGGCAGGGCGATCGGGAAGGACCATGAACAGCCTCCCGTACGCTCACGCGGGTGGTGCTGCCCTCTGAGCCTGGCCCTCCCTTCTGCAACTCCCTTCAGTGTCAGAGCTCCTGGGGCATGGGGAAGGGATCCGAGGCTAGACTGAAGGCTTTCTGGTGAGGGCCTTGTACACCGCGCCTCCTCCATGGGGGGCACCCAGTAAGTATGTGCTGGATGAATAAAGGGATGGATGAGCCACATCCCTGTACCCCTCCCACCCTGGCAGATCTGGGGGAGTCAGGCAGGTAAAGCGACGATCATTAGATCATCTGCTTGGGGCAAGAACAGGGAGCAGGGCTGGGGGCTGGCTAATACAAACCCCTGGTCCCCAGGGCCCCAGACTGCGGTATCTGGAGGGACTGAACTCCCATTTCTGGCATCAGATGTCCCCAATCCTTGGGTGCCCCAGATTTCCAGGTGACCCCTGAGGCTTGGCCAACAATCCCTTGCTCCAGGTGACACCCAGGAGTTCATGTGCAGACCCCCTTGAAGTACATGTTGCACCCCAGTTCCCTCTCAGCTGACTCCAATGACTTCTGGCCTTTGAACCTCCCCCCGATCTCCAACCCCGGGGTACCTCCTCTGCCAGCCCCAGGTTACCCAGGCTCACATTTCTTCTCTGGGAAGCTGTTGCCAGTGGCAGGGATGGTGCTGAGGCTGCCGCCGGGCGGGTGGGGGTGCTGGTGCTGGCGGCGGGCAGGCAGCGTGCTGGAGGGGAAAGCGCAGGTGCTGGTGAAGAGCACGTCGCTGGGCAGGCCCACCTCCAGGCTGGCCGGGTTGGCAAAGCTGGGCTCACGCCGCCCACTGCACAGACTCTCGTCAGACAAGGTCCGCTGCAGACTCTTCGGTGGCGACTGTTGTTGAGACAGGGGAGGATGCGGGGCGCGGTCATGGCCTGGCCCGTGGTCACTGTTATCAGAGGCTCCTTTTTCTCCGGGACATCTGTGGTTCTTACTCACCCAGCATCCATCTTTGTCCCCTTGCTGGTCAAAGCATGACAAGTGCTCCCTGGGGGTTCCCCACTCCTCCCCCCGATGTAGCCCACCTGGTTCTGGAGGGCCAACTCTACCTCCAGCTACAGGTAAGGTTAGGGAAGGTAGTGTGGCCCAAGATGGACCAGTGAGAGCCAGTCACTGCTGAGGACCACTGAGGACAGGGGGCTGTCCTCCCCTAAGGTGGGATAGAGCCCTCTCAGTCCACATAAGAGAGTGCCTGCCTGAGAGCAAGACCTGTCAGGGGCGGGTGGGGTGTGGAGGAACCAAGGACAACTGCAGTTTTGGCCCCTAGGAACCCTGCCTCCGCCTTCGGTCCCTGCGGTTGAGTGGGTAGGAGGAGCTTCTACCTGGGCTCCATAAGGACATGAGTGCTTCTAACAGCATCTCCCCCAGTCTCATGAGGTCCTCTGGGATGGAATAAATCCCCTGGGTGCCCACCAAGCTGCTTTACTCTGAGCTTCTCTCCGATGCCCTGAGCTCTGGCCATGAAGCCACAAACACCCAAACAGGGCTGTGGCAGGGACTGAAGGCTGAGGACCCGCAGGGAGAGGCTGCAGAGACCCCAGGGAGGTATGTCCCCGCCCCCTCGCCCTCCCACCTGCCCATTACGCACTTCCGCATCTCTCTCCTGGTCTGGGGCCAGGTTGTCCATGATGATGAGCTTCTTCAGGTCATCCTCAATGGTGGACTTATAGTTCTTCCGTGGGGAGCGCAGATCGCGGAGGGAGGCCCTCAGCCGTGGCTGCCCAAATACGTTTTTCGTGTTGGTGTCCACCTGCCTGGAATGAGAAGGTCAGGGTCAGGGGGATCTTGAGGAGGCTGGAACTGCTTCTCAATGTTGTCCTGACCCAAGGAGGCCTGCGGTCACTAGGCGAGTGAATGCAGCCTTCTCCACCTCACCTGCATGTGAAGAGGAACCTCGTTTGTGCTCCGATCACTCCCCCCTCGGACACTGCCTGGGAGCCTGCTCTGCGCCACGCCTGCCCTAGGACAGTGCAGCAGGGAACATGCAGCTGACCCCCAGCTGGGGAGCCAGACGATGAGCACATGAACAGAGAGGCCCCAGAATGCGAGGTGGAAAGAGGTGAGCTGAAGAAAAATAAAGCTGGGTAAATGGACAGAATGACGGGGATGGGGGATGGGCTTTGTGAGGGGTGCTGGGAAGTGAGGCCTGGGCAGGGGCAGGGCAGACTGGGCAGGAACTCAGGAGCCACTGTGGGGACTGGATGGCATGTGGGAGGCTCTGCAGTTCTGAGCTGGTGAGTGCTAGGTCCTGATTCTCGTTTTAGAAGGGTTGTTCTGGTTGCCGAACAGAAAAGTGATCCTTGTGGAGGCAGGAAGAAAAGTGGAGGCAGGGAGACAGTAAGGAAGCTCCTGTACGTGAGATGATGGTGGCCTGGATCAGGACCTTCAGCCACAGATAAGGAATGGGGTCTCGCAGAGAGGGAACCCCCCAGGGGAGCTGGTCCCCATAGGCAAGTGGCGGGCCACAGACAGCAGACCTCTGGCCTGGGTGTTTTAGGAGCTGTCATCAGCTTTCCCTAGCCTCAGTTTCCTCATCCGTCAAATGGGGATGAGCTCACACACCATGAGGTAACCGAGGGGTCTGGGAGCACCCAGACTTTCCCATCCCTGTTTTCTACTAGGCTTCCCGTTCCAGAAGTCGGTCTGTGAGCCCAAGTCACTCTAACCACCCCTCAAAGCTGACCTTGCACTGCCTTCCAGAATACTCTGTGGTTTAAAAGCCACTGAAGCATAGCCTGGGGTTAAAAGCCAGAGCCCTGGAGACAGATGGACCTGGATTCGAGTCCTGGCTCTGCCTACTCCTGCCATGAGACCTTGGGCAAGTCACACCACCATTCTGACCCTTGGTTTGCTCATCAGGAAAACATGCCGTTGTCATGGCATCACGTGGTTTGCTGCAAAGCACTTGGCCGGCATCTGACACAGCGAATTCTTGGGAAGGAGGGCTGGCCTTGTGACAACTTGCCTGGGCTGACGAGCACCCCGAACTGCATGCAGTCTCTCTGCTGCTCCCTTACCCCCTCTGCTGGCTCCATGGACGGCCGCCCCACAGCTCCCTGGCCCTCCTCTGGGATTCTCGTCCACCACTCCTGGGAATTACCGAGGCCTCCTTCTGCCTTCTTCTTTTTTAAAAAAGATGTTATTTACTTATTTTTAGAAAGAGGGGAAGGGAGAAAACCATTGGTAGGTTCCTGCTTGCACGTCCCCAACCGGGGCACGTAATGCAGGCATGTGACTGGGAACTGAACCGGCGACCTTCTGGTCCACGGGATGACGCCCAACCTACTGAGCCATACCTGTCATGGCTCCTCCTGCCTTCTGTGGCTCAGCCTGTGGGCTTAGGTACTACTTCAGTGGTGAAAACCTGGGTTCTGACCTGACGCGCCACCACCCAGGATAGAAGAAGCAACAGCTAACAGGGGCACAGCCCTCCCGGTGTGGAAGGCACCATCCACCAACCCAAGGGCCTTGTGCACGCTGTCCGATCTGCACAGCAGGCCTCCCCAGGAGGCGCTGTTACTGTCACCCCCAGTGAATAGACAGGAAACTGAGGTACAGAGGCAAAGTAGCTCCATGGCACTTGTCCTGAGTCACAGTCTGTGAGTGGAGATTCCTGCTGAGGCCCCCAAGCTGCAGAGCCCCCAGGCATCACTGCCGAGTTCATATCATGGAGATGGCATGAAAAAAGACATGTGCTGGTGGAGCACAATCATATTTGTTTAAAAAAAATGGCTTTTAGATGCAGGAAATGAGATGGAAGAGATGAGGAACACTGATAAACTCTGGGAGGTAGGAATCATTAGGAAGTGGAAAAATGGACTGACTTATACCCTTCTGATTGTCTTATTTACCATAATTACGTGTTATACCAATAAAAAATAACTAATTTTTAAAAAGCTAACACACAGACTTACATCGTTTTGTAACTCAAGAAAGAAAAAATGCTGTGGCAGGTGAGGCTCAGTGGATTGAGCACCAGCCTACAAACCAAAAAGGTCACCAGTTCGATTCCCAGGAGCGCACGTGCCTAGGTTGTGCTGTGGACCAGGTCCCCTGCCGGGGGTGTGTGAGAGGCAATCGGTTAATGTTTCTCTTACACATCGATGGTGCTCTCCCCCGTTTCCCCCTCCCACCCCTCTCTCAAAAAATAAATAAAATACTAAAAAATATAAGTCTTTGAACCCATGAAGAGATAAGATGCCTTGGGCCTACTGAGGGTTTTGAAGTGTACGTTTTCCCCCTCATTTTCTCAGCTGCCAGCTCTGGGATTTTAACAAAGAAAGGGACAGAGGGTGGGAAGTTTTTTCTTGTTAGGTCATATTTCTCCTCAAGTTAGAATTCCAGGTCTAGGGTAATACTGGCTCCATTACAGTGTTCTCTGCGTGAACAAAAAGCTTAAGCTCTGAGAGAGAAACAGAAAGAGACAGAGAGAGAGAGATGCACACGACCCAGAGAGTATATGTTCCTCCCGCTGGAGGTGGAAAGGGACCTACTGTCCTCCCTCTCCTTTAGACTTTTTGCCATTTCCCAGAATCCCCTGTCCTGGGAAGTGCAAGGCATGCTGCGTGCTGTGCCCACTGACGGTGGGGAAGGAGCAGGCCAGGCCTTCTGTTCGTCTACAGTGAGAAAGGGGCACTCTCCACTGGGAGGGGTGTAAAAAAGACCTGAAATTTTTATTTTATTTTTTAAAAGATTTCATTTATTTGTTTTTGGAGAGAGAAACATCGATCGGTTGCCTCTCACACACCTCCAAGTGGGGACTTGGCCCACAACCCAGGTATGTGCCCTGCCTGGGAACTGAACCAGCAACCTTCTGGTGTGCAGGCCGGCACTCAATCCACTGAGCCACACCAGTTGGGACCTGCTAAGAACTTTAAAGCATGCTCTCTCTCTGCACTACTTCTGGGAGTGGGTCCTTCAGAAAGGTCCACATCAATCCACGGGTGCCAGGTATATGAGGGTACTTCATGGGGGCCTGTCTGCAGGGCAAACACAGAAGCAGGGGAAGGCCCTTCTGGGGAGGACGACGAGGCACCACAGAGCCACCCTGTGCAGCTGCTAAAACGAAGTGCAGCCAATCCGCATGACCCGGGAGGAGGCTCTCCCAGGTAGGCCATGGGAATGAATGTATAGTGGTATATATAGCAGGAAATCTTTTTTAGGAAAAGAACCTCACACACAGCTTAGCTCGATATACTGAATTTCACCATATTCTTAGCTCCAAAACTGGGTATATGGGGGATTCACTTTCTAAAAACATTTTTAACCACAGCCCCCAAGGTCCCAAACATCTTCCCTGGCCCCTGTCTGTCCTCACTGCCTCCTGCACAGGCCTCCTAATGTTCCTTAAACACACCAGGCATGCTTCTGCCCCAGGGCCTTTGCACTGGCTTTTCTGTCTGCCTCGAGTCCCCTCCCAGCATTCCCTGTGAATAGCAACTTCTCATCTATCCAGCTTAGCTCCAATGTCACCTCCTCCAAGGGGCATCCCCTGACCACTCAACCTCCTGGTGCTCTCTTCCCAGGCCAGGTACACTCAGTCACACAATCTTGTGCTATGTTACTGAACTCACCTCATGAGGGTTTGTTGGGTGTACTGTGCATTTGTGTTTCCCCTCCTTCCACCTCACCTGCAGCCTTCTGCACTGTGTCCAGAGTCAGGAATAGGGCTGCCACATTAGGTACTTAAATGTAGTTGTTAAATGAGTATTATATGAAACCAACCAACCAACCTCTATCCCTCCCTCCTAAGCAATGTCCCTACTTTTCTTCCTTCCTCCCTGCTTTCCTCTCTTCCTTTTATAACAAGCTTAAATGACTTTTATAAAACAGAAAAGATTTTTTGAAAAGTTAAGCCAAAAGAACATGAGCATTCCTTCCCCAATGTTTGTGTTCATTTGCTAAAATCTCCTTCTCAGATCCCAAGATGGCTAGGACTAACAGCGCACTCTTAATCCCACAGTGGAAGGCTGGCTCTCGGGAAGAGGTCAGGCTAGTACGCTCCCTCCTGCCCTTGCATCTGCTTCTGTCTCACCCACTGCAGGCTTCAGGGCCTGGTACTGTTAGCGGGTTGCTGTGACATGTCTACAGGGAAAAAACACAATGAAAATTCAGTCTGGAGAATGCAATTGATCACTCTTGCTCTTTCTTTCTTCTGGAAGAATTTTCCCAATGTATTTTCTACAATGCAAATTTGAAGCAATACTTTACGATGGCATTAATTCCAAGTTAAAGAAAATGAACCAAACTGGGCTTGTGTAGCTCTGATCTTTTTCCTTTTTCTCAAGATCTCTGGTCTCCCTAATTGTCAAAATCTAATGACCTCCGAGGACAACATGAACTTCTGCCTGACTCTTGGAAAGAAGAGATCACCTTCAATACACTGACATGAAACTGTCGCCAAGTTATTTGAGAAGCACAAATGAAGGAGGCAGCGATAAATCAAGCAGAACAAGGGAAGCACTCCCGGTCGCACGTGCTGGTCAAGCCTGGGCCGTCTCTGGGAGCACGCAGAAGGAAGGAAACCGTGGTTGCTCTGGGGAGAGGAGCAGGATGGCTGGGAGCCAGGGAAGTGATAGTGGTTCAATTTTCATTCAAAACTGCAAACTTTTTTGGACTAGTTTTTTTTTAACTGTACATATTACGCATTTCAAAACACAAATGAAAATACCCTGAAGGATGAGCCCTCTCCTCAAGGTTCTGACTGGGAGCACTGCACAGAATCTCTAATGTGCCCATACTGTCTGAAGTCAGG